CAGCTCAGAGCTATCATCTTTAATGGCACTCATAATGTTTTAGGCCTCTTCTCCTGGTCTGCTGTTCATAGTGTCTAGACTTCGTAAACCCACTCCAGTGATTTCACAGCAGATGTTTACTATGGTTTGGAGGCTGTTCCTGTTCTTGATTGTGTGAGATGTGAAGCAGCAGACAATGGAGGAGCACAGATTACTCTCAATATAAGAGCTGCAGAGAGGTTCAATGGCTTAATGGAGCATGCAGTATACGTTTGCACTAGGGTTGTAACGATATACCGGTATGACGGTTTATCATGGATTGAACGTACACGGTTCTCATACCGTAAACATTTTCATATCTACAGTTTAAAAAAAATGAATGAAAAAAATCTCACCTGCGCATATGCAACTTATTTCCGCTCGACTGCTTCACTGCATTCACTTGGCTGCTTACACGCACACGTGCAGCGGAGAAAATGACAGAGACAGAGATAATATCTAATCTCCATCCCCGCCGAAGAAAAAGTTAAAATCTGCAGTATGGGAATACTTTGGATATTAAAAAAAATGAACGTGGGGTTGTCCTTGAGAACGATCCAATTAAAAAAAAAAAAATGTGGACGCAAAGTGGCTGCAAAAGCAGGCAATACATCCAACATTTTAGCTCATATTCGCGGACACCATCCCTCCGTGCAGATGAAGGTCTGTCGCCAGGGCCGGATTTACGCATAGGCATTCTAGGTACGTGCCTATGCTTGCTCGTCCAGGGGGGGCCCAAACACAATGAAGATATATAATATTTTTGTTATACTATGGGATATCTACAACAGTAAAAGAACCAAAACCCCAGAAGACATTGAGCAAATAAATATAACAAACAATAGGGTAAAAATGACAAACTATTTCCATGTCCTCAACCTTTTTTATGTATGGAAATCACGCTTTCTTTCTCCCGTTCTCTCACAGACGCACACACAGTACAGACACGCTCTCGCGCACACACGCGGAGACGCGGACAGAAACTTGTTGTCAGAGCTGCGGCTGCCCAGCGAATTTATCAATAAAATAGTTTTGCAGCTGAAAAGCTACATGACATTTCTCAGTAGCGAGGTTCTTGAAGCAGTTCAACTTAAAGATTCGCTATTAGTAGACGCTGCTGCTGAACACCGCTGAGAATCTCGCCCTCTCTCTCTTTCGCTCTCTTTCTCTAATAAAAGCATTAGACTGCATTAATAACTGCGTTAGCCTGCATATAAATTAGAGATGCACCGATTGCAATTTTTTTGGCCAATTCCGATTTCCGATTTTTTTTGTTAGTGTGATCTGCCGATACTGATTTTTTCCCGTAAAAAGTCCGTAATAAAATAAGAACACAAAAAATTGCAAACAACAGCACAAATAAATGCAATAGAATAAAGAGAGCTATGAAACTAAGTTTTTCACGTTAGGTAAGTTTTTATTCAGGTAAGAAATACTAAAGAAATTAAAGTAATCAAATGTAAAATAACACATCCAGTGTTACTTTACATTTGATTACTTTAATTTCTGTAGTCTTCATTGTAAAAATTAAATACAGATTAATGCTTACCATTAAAGTTATAAAACGTATTCAGTCAAGAGCAGAAAGTGATTTTTTTTTTGTCTTTTGGGATGCGTGTTGCATTAGCGCAGTCTGACTAATGTCATATAGCCTATAACACGCTCACGTTTATTATTTTATCATTTTGGGAGGAGTAAAATTTACATGTGGTTTCAACAACCAGATGCATTTATACTTGTCGAGTTTCGTCTGGAATGCGGCCCAGACCTCCTCCTGAAGTGTTCTGAGCGATCGGATTTATATCTGTCTCGCGGCCCAGACCACCTCCTGAAGTGGTTTGAGCGATCGGATTTATATCCGTCTCGAATGCGTTTCGGAGGGCATACACATACACAACTGGTCTTTTCACGATCGGATAGCTATACGATAAAAAAAAAAAAACGCATTAAGTGACCAGGTGTAAACAGGCCCATGTTACACAACATGCGTTCTCTTTCTCAAATATTTAACGTTCCAAAACTGACTGCGTTTAACTGGATACTCACCAAGACGGACATTTTGACATAATTTTGTGTTAGGGTTGTGACGGTGAGGAAAAATTAACAACAATCTTTGTTAATCGAAGTGTGACAACACCGGTATCACCGTGGGGGCGGGGGCGTTCCCTCTTTTCCTCGCTTTTCTTTTGCTTCTAAATAGCTTGTAAAAGCTGCGTGCGCATTTTACTTTCACTTT